GAAGTTTATAGTCCTTGGTTTTAGTCCTGGGTCCATGATCCACCTTGAGTTGGTTTTTGTGTATGGAGTGAGGTGTGGGTCTTGCTTGAGTCTTTTGCATATATTTTTCCAATTTTGCCAGCACCATTTGTTTAAAAGGCTGTCGTTTCCCCACTTCACTGATTTCATCTCCTTGTCAAAGATCAGTTGACCATAGATAGATGGGTTGATCTCTACCAACCCTTGTATTTCCATACTTGAAAGTTCCGCTTCAGTTACCCTGTCTGTTAGTCTACATGTGTTCTATTGTACTTAAGGTTTTTCAGAGGCCTGCTATTTCGGAAGTGGATGGCAAATCTGTCTTTCTAGTCTGTCTTAATCTGAATGCTCAGAATTAGAGAAGTATCTGACAGACAAGCATTTTACAGAGAAAAGCAAATGAAAGACATTTCCCCAACTGTGGAATTAACCAATAGTTTCAGTGTTGTCCCTGCCCTTGACACAGTGTCCTGACCCACTTATTTCCCTGCTCCACCATCCACCAGCATCCCCTCCCACTCCCACCCACTCCCTTCAACACCTACCTCCCATTATCTAGCCCTTGATCTCAAGCTTATATCTCAAGCTTTATGGGCTTCTGGGATTCTAAACACTTCAGCTGCTGACAATTTCTTATGCTATAGCCATTGTGTCTTGATTTTAGAGGTAATGTTTCCCAAGTGAGGGTGATGCGTCCTGTAGAACTGATGTATAGATTGTTTTCCTGGCCTGAGGGCCGCAATTTCCAGCTCCACTTTGACCTGCCAGGGCTCTGGGTCGTGTTTACCTGTGGGGTGGGGGATGCTGAAGTCCCCACCTGGTGGCCCCTCTCTTCCCTTCTGAATTCCTATGATTTTTATCTCCTTGCTTCATCAGCTTCTGTGCCTTCCTGCACTCCTTGGCTGCTTGTCACTTCCTTGTAATATTGTTTCCTCACAAGGATGAGAATCCCACTGTCCCACCCAGATAATGCAGCATAGCTTCTCCATCTTGCAGTCTGTGGCTGAAGCACATTTACAAAGCCCTTTGGTATTCTCACATTCCTGGGATCAGGCTGTGGACATCTTTCGGGGTACGCAGCCTTCACAGGAACTCGACCTTTCTGGCTACTTTCTCCTATGGAACCGTTGTCTGCTTTTCTCTGAAGTCAGTGGGCCTGATAGAGGTAGACGGGGACAAGACCCATTTGTGGGTGAGCCTGCAGATGCCCTGCAATGACCCAGCCCTGACTCTTTGCCTTGGGCCTCTGCAGGCCTGCTCCACCTCCACATGCCTGTCAGGCACGTCAGCAGGGCCTGGGGCCTCATCGCTGTTTCCAAGATGCCTGCAGCCACCCACCCTCAACCCTGCCTTCTTTCTTTTCAGTGTTCTGGAAGTGCCGGGAGGCCACTGTGTCAGCAAGCTGAGTGGGAAACCAAGGCAAGATGTCGGGCCGGAGTGGGAAGAAGAAAATGTCCAAGCTGTCCCGTTCAGCCAGGGCCGGCGTCATCTTCCCTGTCGGGAGGCTGATGCGTTACCTGAAGAAGGGAACGTTCAAGTACCGGATCAGCGTGGGCGCCCCAGTCTACATGGCAGCTGTCATCGAGTACCTGGCAGGTAATGTGAACACACTGGTAGGTTGGACGTGGAGAGAAGCCAGGTGGAAGTAACTCTCCTTCCCCACACCTGGTCCTTCTGGCCTGGGTCAGCCTGCCTTGGCTGTGCCCTCTCCCTGCCTTTTACGTTTGTCCCACACAGCCGCCTCAGGCTGGAGTTGACCCAGGCCCAGGTGTCACTTTAAGCCCACATGATTCATTTCCTGCCCCTGTTACCCTGGGCTAATTACTTAACCTCTCTATGCCTTGGGTATTTCCAGAGCAAGCTCATTCCCTCCATTAACAGAGTTAATATGTGTAAAATATCTGGTGCAAAGGATGCATTTAATAAGTGGCAATTCTTCTTACCGCCACCCCCACCACCCCTGCTACCCCAACTCCTGTCTTCATTAAGAACTAATAAAATCATCCAGGGCAAAGTATAAAGGACTAATTAAGTTTATATCTTCAAGCTGTATTTGTATTTTAATGAGATAAAGAGTTAAGTCAAAGGAATGAATCATTATTAGCGGGATTGCAGGCTACTGGAATACGGGAGAGGAGCCCTGTAACACCCATGTGAGGTTGTTCTCTACCGATCAGAATTAAGCAGGGGGAAGCCTATGCTCACTGGTGTACCAGGAACTTCGTGCCTGTCAACACCTGTACATCTGAGCAACGGAAAGGGCTGTGCAGTTGGGAGACAGATGTCAGCCATACCTTTGATGTGATGTGGGAAATGTGATTTTGTTCACTACAGATTAACTGGTAAACACAAATTAGTCTGTGCTTGCCTTACTTACTGGGCAATGTGGCATTGCTGGAGAAAATCTGGGAAAATGAACGTATCTGCCAGTTAAGGATGGGGGTAAAGCAGGCCCAGGTCAGGGAGATCCTTGAGGGCCGCACTGAGGATGTACGTGCTGCATACACTCGGTGTACGCACACAGATGTACATTCAGTGCACACATGCAAATTCATTGCACACATGCACATTCAGTGCGCGCACACAGACACACTCAGGCACACGCAGATGCACATTCAGTGTACACACACAGATGCACACATAGACACACCTGGTGCACAGTCAGATGCACATAAAGACACACTCAGTGTCCACACGCAGATACACACTCAGTATGTACATGCAGACACACACACTCAGTACTCACACAGACACACAGTTGGTACACACACTCAGATGCACACACAGACATACTCAATGTGAACACGCAGACTCACACTTGATGTCCATACATACACACACACACACACTCAGTGCACCCATGCAGACACACACTTGGAGGCCACTCAGTCATAGGTGGACAGCAGTTGGTGATAGCAGTGTCAGAGCCCAGGAGCCGACAGGGTAGCTGCAGCGTGTGTGTGTGTGTGTGTGTGTGTGTGTGTGTGTGTGTGATGCACGTCCTCAGTGTGGTGGCTGCAGCATGTGTGTATGTGTGTGTCTGTGTGATGGCTGCAGCATGTGTGTACGTGTGTGTGATACAGGTCCTCGGTGTGGTGGCTGCAGCATGTGTGTACGTGTGTGTGTGTGATGCACATCCTCAGTGTGGTGGCTGCAGCGTGTGTGTACGTGTGTGTGTGTGATGCACGTCCTCAGTGTGGTGGCTGCAGCATGTGTGTACGTACGTGTGTGTGTGTGTGTGTGTGTGTGATGCACGTCCTCAGTGTGGTGGCTGCAGCATGTGTGTACATGTGTGTGTGATGCACGTCCTCAGTGTGGTGGCTGCAGTGTGTGTGTGTGATGGCTGCAGCGCGTGTGTGTGTGTGATGCACGTCCTCAGTGTGGTGGCTTCAGCGTGTGTGTATGTGTGTGTGTGTGTGATGGCTGCAGCGCGTGTGTGTGTGTGATGCACGTCCTCAGTGTGGTGGCTGCAGCGTGTGTGTACGTGTGTGTGTGTGTGTGTGTGTGTGTGTGTGTGTGATGTACATCCTCGGTGTG